CAAAGATTTAAATATTAAAGTGGAAAATTATGTTTAAGGGAGGAAAGAAGGGAAAATGAATTATTCTTGAAAGAAGAAAGTAGTGCTATAGGCTTTTATGATCTATTAAATACCCAATAAAGATGGATAATAACATAGGCAATAAAGAAAGAGTCTCGACTTAAAGAAGCCTTACTGTACTCCTGACAAACAAGTAAATAAATGTTGGTTCTAATGAAACATTAGCAAATGTAACAAATCTGAAGTCAAAAATTGGTTAAAATGGGGGAAAAAAAGCAAAACATCATAATCTGTATATTATTCTCTTATATAAACTATTTCCATCTCTGGCCCACTTGGCTACAATTTCTGTTTGAACTGTATTACAAAAAAAAAGAAAAGAAAATAGAGAGATGAATCATGTAGTCGTTCTCGCATCATACAGCTCGCAGTCTTTCCAGCTTCCACCCCCTGACAGCGGTCGCCGTTTAACACCGATCTTTGGTTTTTGCTTGCGTGTGAAAGTGGAGTGAAACGGCTGCAAGGGACTGAAGTGGGTCGTGGGTAACATGTTGCTATAGCAACTGCCATTCGTCGGCCCCAGGCCCAAGAAAACGCTTTTCTCTTGCACGTTCCCCCATCCTTCTATTGCTCTGCCTTTTTTCTCTCACCTCCTTCTCCTCATTTGCTCCCGGCCCACTCTTTACCTCTCCTCTTTGGTCTCCCTTCTTTTATCTCTACTATTTGGTTTCCTCTCACCTCACAGGTTCTGCTCAACATTTTTCTCCCATTTTGACCCTTTTGTCTTGTCGATATCGTCGCGATGGCAATAAAACCAAGCAGGCATCCGTTTGCATCTTTTCTGAGCTGTCCGTCACAAATTGAGGTTGAAATGTACACAGGATAACAGTCAGCTTTGTCCTGCAGAATGTAGCAGAGATGGTCATTAATCCTTAATTGCAGGTCTGTCAAAATCCGAGCTACTCCGTCCCCTAACATGAACAGAAAGGTGAAATTCTTCGGTAACGGTTTTGCTGAAAGTTATTTAAAATGATGTATGACGCGATATCATAACAGGGGGTATAACACAGTGTCCTGGTGATTAACTCCAGCTTGCTTAATAAAGCACAGCGGTGACATGCAGTCATAATTCAAAGAAAATGGCAGTGAAAGGGGACAGAGGAGCGAAGACAGCGGCAGTGAGGTATAAAACGAGGCAGATAGGCCAGCCTCGGTGTGTCACCTAAATTCTACTCTAATGAATAGCTCATTGATTTCCATTAGGAGCGGCTCAGGCTGACCACTCCAGCCTGTCTGCTTCCCATTAGCGCACTTTTAAACTGAGGCTGACAGTCGTAGCCAGGGGTAGACCAGATACGGGAAAGAGGCCGCTCTGTGTTTTAACCAAACTTGTGAATTCATCCATGAAGCTGCATGGAGTCAGGGGAGAAAGACAAAGATATAAGTGGAAACATCGAGGCCTTAAACAGCTTCCATCCTGTCATATTATTCAGATCTATTAAGAAAGGATATAAAAGGAAGGAGCATATCCCCGATTTGTAAATAGAACACTAGCTCTGAAAGGCCTGTTCAAAGGAATAAAGCTAAACGATGTAAAGGACTGTCGCAATATTGGCTGCTCTACACCTTCGGAGGACTTGGCCCACTTCTCTGTCCTGCCATCCAACTTTTATCAGCTTGACTCCTCCACCAGCCAGCTTCCTTCATTAACAGGATTTGGATCCGTTACGTAATCAGCCTCCACTGGGTTACATAAGGCAGAGTCTTCATCAACAGCAGCTCAATAGAAGGAAGCTGATTCATCTTCAGATTTAAGTATCTATCAGCATCAACTTTCACTTAACTTCTTATTCTTTATGTGAAAAAGATTCATTAAAAGTAGTCTATACTTATGTCATGGAAGCTAAACAAGTTGTTGATTTAATCTAATCCTACATGATAAGGGGACACCTGGGGGGAAAGTAAAACACCCGAGTGTCCAAATAGTGTACAAATTTTCCAAATCTGATTTTCTATTAAAAGGAAAAGGAAAATAAACTATAAAAAAGAAAAAAAATTGTGTTTTTATTGTTCTTTTTTGTTTTCACAAGTTAAAACATGATTATTTCACCTTAATCCCACATTCTTTGTATTGCCAGTTATCAGCCTGCAAGAAGGTTTTTTTTTCTCACAAAACAGACAAAAATGTCAGTTTTAAAGATAATAAGAATAAAAAAAAAACTGTATAGTCACTGTGTGTATTGTCTGCTTCTGTCTTCTTGAACCCCAGTCGTCCTCGGCAGATGGCTGCTCCTACTGAGCCTGGTTCTGCTGGAGATTTCTTCCTGTTAAAAGGGAGTTTTTCCTCTCCACTGTCACTACAAGCATGCTTGGTGTGAGGGATTGCAGAGAGTCAAAGAGTTGATGCAATCAACTGTTTTTCCTTAAATGGAAAAAAAAATTTTTTTTGAGTTTTTATGGCACTATTAACTCATTTTTCTGAGAGTAGGCTGACAGGAAAGGGGGTATGAGAGAGGGGGAGAGACATGCAGCAAAGGACCACAGGTCAGATTCTAACCTGGGTCGGCCACGTCGAGGACTAAGGCCTCCGTACATGGGTTGTGCGCACTAAACACTGCACCGGCTGCACGCCCAGATAGAAAACTTTTAATTAGTTTGACTTTATGATCTGGTTGAAGTGCCGATATAAAGTGCCTTGAGATGTGTTGTGAATTGGCACAATATAAATAATCTGAATTTAACTGAACTGAATTACGGAAACGTATAAACTTATAAAACAACAGTTGGAAAATCCCAAATGTTGGCCTGTAAATGTTTTCTACATAAATGTCTTCCACAATTTCAAAAAATACATTTACATATATTTGATGTTGTACAGTTAACCGGGCTCCAAATTAGGGTTTCCTTCATTTGAAAACTATAAAAAATTAAAATAAGTGGACACATTTCCAAACACTATGGTGGCAATGTTCAGATATGATCCTTGGTATTTTTTTTTTTTTTAGATGTGCATCAACCATCAGTCATATACATACTCTAACTTGGATTTATGCTGGTTTAAGTAACAGGTTATAAATCAAGATTAAGAATTTTTTTGGATAGCTAGTTTTTTTTTTTTTTTTTTATGAGCAGGATATCCAAACGTCTCTAAAAGCTATTGAATCCTGTTTTTGGTAAAAAAAAATAATAATAATAAGTCTGTAAAATATTGTATATTTTTTCTTGAAGTGAATTACTGCCATATGTTGATTTACACCTTATTCAACCTGTATGATTTCTCGTCTTTTCTGTTGTCGAGTGGAGTTAAGAGAAAGGGTGTTACCTCTATGAAATAGGAGGTCTTAAATCTGTAATTCAAGGTTTTCTAGACCCAACTGTGGTTAGATAAGACAACAGATATTTGCAAGACATCTAGAGAATGGTAGATTTTTCTATGATTGCAGTATGATTCATGCTTAGAAATAGTAGGATTTTTTTCTCTCAATAAACATTTTCATTAGACATTCTACCATCTTTACTGAAATTTTAAATAAATATGGAGAACAAAGGAATAAACACCATTTAGCTTCTTTTTCCTTCTACTATTGTGTTGTTATAGATTGCTATTGCTTCCCTTAGGGAAGCTCAAATCAATTGGCTCTTTTAAACCCATCAATAGCAACTCTCTGCAGGCTATAAACTCTACCGTGCCTGAACTCTGTATTCAAAAATCAAATTACATCCTGGTGCGTTTCTGGAAGGATTTCAGTGAGTTTTATTTTTATTTTAAACTTTTGTTATTAGGTGTCAAAGTATATTGATTAAGGTTTAAGCGGATAAAAACCATTAGTGGATCTTCGCTCTTCAGTTGTGTGGATCTAACGCTTTCACAGGAAGAGCTGTCATGTGTAGTTTAAATCATAAAGAGCCATGCCTGCCACTAAGTGTGTTATTCACTGATGATTGGTGAAAGTGTCAGAACAGATCACCCTACATGTGTAAAGCCACTGGTGTACCTTTAAAGGACATGCACTGGGTTTGGTCTGGACCAATCAGAGCCTCGGTCAGATTCAACCCACTTGTGAACATCAGATAACGATGCCAACTAGAGCAGGCTGTCATGGAAACAGCTACATAGCACATGCACACACGCACAAGACAGTTCATTTTGTCTCTTTTTACTCCGAGAGTAACTTCCCGCTTTGCCAGAGGAGCTATTTTAGCGCGTGTTACATAAGACACAATTTGAGTTCAATGCAATGCTTTTTGCTCCAGCTTCTCTGTTCCTGGAGGAGGATGCATCTGCAGCACCTGTAGACCTAAGCCCATAAATCACACAGAGAACTCCATGCTTACTGCTACGGCTAATTGAAAACAAATGCACTAATTCAACCTTATTACTGCACAATGGGCACAGGTAAAATATATAGAGGATTTTTGCTTGCTAATTAACTCTTGGGTAGCCTCTGCTGCCCGATTCAGAGACATACCTCATTCTAGCCCTTGATTAAATATAAAAGGAAGAGATATGCTTCAGCTTTTACCTAAAAAGCAGATCACCGGTATGCATTTGACCACCATACCTACCACTGTAGTTCTAATCATGAGGGTTTCTTCAACAGAAAAGAAATAAATGGACACAGAGCGGTTTGTTGTAGTGCAGCACACATGTAAAATGCAGCATCCCCTGCAGAGCTCTCAGTAAACACTTACTGTGAATCATGCTATGATCAGGGGCTTAACGTGTCTGATGGAGAGGTATGCTCCGCATCAAGGCTGTTGAGTTTTACAGAGAGTGTCGTCAGCAGAGCTAAACAAGGCACTCTGGGATGTTAGACTCTCTTTGTTCTTTCTTATGAAAACACAGTTGCCGTTGAGCTTTTTTTGTGTGCTTTCTTTCATATCTGACCTAAATTCTTTGTTCTCAGATCCTCCCTAATGCTTTCGTAGCTTTGAGCTTTCTTGCGGCTAAATGCAACAGGATAAGTGGAAATAATCCCGCTCTTCCTCTCCTTCTGCAGGATGTTTCGAGTGCTGCATCAAGTGTTTGGGCGGGGTGCCCTATGCCTCGCTGGTGGCCACCATCCTCTGCTTTTTAGGTGTGTCCCTGTTTTGCGGCTGTGGGCATGTTGCGCTTACAAGCACCCTGACCATGCTGGAGAACCATTTCTCTACGATCACCACTGACCACGCCACCCTCGCTGCAGTGTAAGTCCTCCGAGTGTTAATATGGCGCCCTAAAATAAGCCTTTGCAGGAATCTGATAATATGCTTTATGTCTAGAAAAGCAATGCAGCCCATTAACAATTGAATAATTTTTTTTATTTATCTTCTCTGGAACAGTGGCACCTCTATCAATTGGCTGCTAAATTAATTCAACTTAATACGTTTTTCTGTAACTAAGTTGATCATAGACTCTTCGATGTTTATTTTACTTCATAACTGCCTTCTTTCCTCCAGTTTAAGCATTTGGGTACATAAAGAAACATGAAAAATCTCTGAGAGAAGAAAAAAGCAACCACTTGGAGTCCAAAACTTGCAGTAGAGTGATTGGAATCGAAATACCAGCCTGGCATAAATGCATAACAAAGGCTACATTGATAAGGCCGATTAATGCAAACCCAAATATTTTTCTTCTGTTTGGAAAAAAAAATTACTTATAAATTATTTTTTCATGGCGGTCTGCCTGGCCGCTTCTATATGTGGTACTTAATTGGATATGTCTTAACAGTCATGTCTCATTTTATCCAACTTTTACGTCATTGCCCTGGCTCCCACTACTTATCTACTCTGACTTCTCAGCAGCAGTAGAAGTCACTGCTCGATATTATTAGGGTTAAAAAAAATAATCAACTGTATTTTGCCAAAAAATTGCAACTGAGCATCAAGACCTGTTGGGTAAATGTAGACAAAACAGTGTGGAATTCTGGAGAAGTCTCTACTAAGAGCATTAACTTAGAGGCCTGACAATCCGGCACATTATTGAGGGAATAGAGATTTCTCTGTCGTCCTAAGCTTATCCTGGAAATCACTCCATAGTTCTGGCAAAAAGAAAAACCTAAACAAAAAAGATCTAATTTATCTTCCAGTTGTGACCAGCATTGTTACCTGCAGTACATAGGGATCGCCTCTATGATTTATTTCAGAAAAGGTGAGATTACTCTACAGCAGGCATCGCCAAAGTCGGTCCTCGAGGGCTGCTGTCCTGCAGGTTTTAGAGGTTTCCCTGCTCCAGCACTGCTGATTTACATTGATAGTTAATTAACAGGCTTTTGCTGAACTCCAATCATCAGAATCAGCTGTGCTAAAGGAGAGAAACCTCTAAAACCTGCAGGACAGTGCCCCTCAAGGACCGACTTTGGGGATGCCTGCTCTACAGCATCAAGGCAAGGAGAGGTTGTAATAGATCCCTATTTCTACGTTAGAGAGAGTGTCATGGAACTTCAGTGATCTAGCTGTCAAAATCTTGTGCCACTCATATGCCTTTGACTTGTCTGCTGTTGGCTCTAAAAGTAACTTTAAGCTAATGCAACCTTTGTTCAGAATGGATGTTAAAAGGCCGATGCGCAATTATTGTCAAAAACTCATCACTTAGCTCAGTAACCAGAAGTCTGGAGAGAGTTTAAATCAAACAGAAATTATTGAATGCAGTAGTTAGTTTTTGCTTTGACAGGGTAGGTAAAAAGCCAAAAAGATTTCATCACTCAATTAACTTTATGCTCTGGAACAGCAGGTTGTTCAATATGCTGGTCTGGCTGTTGACTCCCTGCCCAAGCCATCTGTGCTATCCGTATACTTCCTCTTCCTTCAGATTTTGGTTTATTCATTCATCTACGTCCAAGCTTGACACTATTTAATCATTCTGGATAGAAAGGCGTTTCTAACTCAGCCTTTTTTTTCGTCCTTTCCATGAATCTCATCCTCATTTCCATCTTAGACAATCTTTGTAATTAATATGCTTTATTAATCCTTCGTCTAGTTTTGTCATAGCCTTCAACGCATTTACATACTCCTGTTAAAGAGACAGTTTTTGTCAAAAGAACAGCGCTATTTACTTGAAGTTGATGTCACTACCCTTATATGGTGGTCTGTTCCTGTATTTAGGAAAGCTGGATTATAAATACTGTTTGATTCGAAATAGACGGTCCACATTGACAGGAAAAAAAAACAACAGAAAAGTTAATCAAATGCTGCAAGGCTAATTAAGCCTGCTCAATTCTGGAGCTTTTATAAAAATCACCTTTGAGGTCAGCAAATGTAATACATTTCTTTTTTTTTCCCTCATCTTCATTGGTGTATTTATTGGTGATGGCACCATCTTCAGGCTCCTAATATTGTTAACCAAAGCTTTAAAACCTTTGTAAACCAGGGTATTCTGACGTTAAGGTTTGTCTCCTGTGTCCAGGATCCAGATCTTTCAGTATATCATTTACGGCATCGCCTCTTTCTTCTTGGTCTACGCCATCCTCCTGCTGGGGGAGGGTTTTTACACCACCAGCACCATCAAGAAGGAGCTGCAGAGTGACTTTAAGACAACTATCTGCGGACGTTGCATCACTGCCTTTGTATGTCAACTCAGCCACTGTGAACTAAATCAACTAGATGAATCTATGAGCTTACTTTTGTTTTACAAGTTTCTTTATTAGAATATGAATGTATGTTTGCATCAAGTTGCATCAAGTTGTGGAGATGTGTTGTGTTTAATTCTATACTTAATAGCCAGATCCACACAAACGATCCCACTTGAATTATACTTGAGCCTTCAGGGTTACTTTGGCACAGTTTGTCCTTTCCAGCCTGATTAAGTTAATTACTTCAGATGTCCAGTTAGATTAGCATGGAAGCAAAATCTGACGCATGTGTGGGTGGATGGTTAGGGCTTTATATAGTAATCACCTAATTCTCAGTGCATTTCAAACATTTTCATAAAACCCCATCGCCTGCTTTCTTCTTCCCTTCCTCTGTTTAGTTCATGTTCCTGACCTACGTCTTCACTCTGGCTTTCATCGCCATCTTCTGCTTCACGACGATTCCGGTTTTCCTCTTCTTTAACATGTCGAATACCTGCGCTGCCATGAAATCTCCGGACTCCAACATCACGTCTCCTGACTCCATCTGTGTGGATGTCAGGCAATACGGTCAGTTGCTGTCCTTTCATTTGATTTGTGGGTCTCTGGTATGATGTCACTCAGGGCGGCAATGATGGGGATCTTTTGAATTTTAGGGGCTGTAGAATTGGGTAAGGGTAAAAACTTACTTTCAGAAAGTAATATATGGAATTCAAAGATTATGATTATGCTTCTGCTGTTGTTTGCCCTTTACAGTAGTAGCCATTCGAATTGTCTCCATTTTCCTGGCTGGTCCTTGGCTGGTCCCCTGCAATTCCCTTTTAAACATCAATCTTTGCACTGAAATATTCTTTCTGTCATGATTTATGGACATTAAGATCTAAAGAGAAGCACCATCACCCTGTAATTCAGTGGAAGGGTGAAGTCAGTAAAAAAATATGCACGCACAGCTGAAGGAGGGGGTCACTCCTGTTGCTGGAAGTTGGAGGGGATTCTGCTGGGAGTTGCAAGGAAGTTGGGAAGGGCTATTTTGAAGGGCTGCTACTGTAAATCTAATTAAAAGACCATAGATTTCAAGCACAGTTAAATCATTTGGGTTTGAAATAAAGCAAAAGGACAGTGTGGTTATAAAAATTTTGTTTTTTAATAAACACAAATAAATATTCTTGCTTTTCAACAAAATACTTTTCCTGCTTTTTTCGTTGTCACCCTCAAAATCTGTGCTCACCTGCTGCACCTTGCAATTGGATCCAAAACCATTTAGTCTTGATTGTATTTTCTGTGACAAACCAACACAAGTTAGCATCCCAAGTTTCAATATCTCATCAAGCACTGCTTGAGCCATCATCTGAGAAGGAAGAAGTATAAAACCTACAAAGACATGGTTGTCAAATAAAAACGGCAGACCATGAAGAAAGAGCATCAACCTTTTAACTCTAGTGGAGATCCAGAACTCAGACCAAAGGATCTGCTGACAGCAAAGTCCAAAACCTTGCTTTTATTGAAAATAACAGAATAATATCTACCGGTATGTTAAAACATAGCATTGTTTGCAAAAATAAAAGCTTCACACCCGGTTCATGACTTCATCCTCACCATAAAAGATGTTGCTGTTAAAATCAGACAGACTTTAGACTTTAGAATGGAGAATGGCCTAAAGAGCTACAGGAAAAGAGGTCAATCAGGGTGTATTAATGTGTTAGAAAGTCCCACTCAAAATCCTGGCATAATTCTGGCTAATAATGAACGAGACTTAAAGTTAATACAGAGATGTACGAATTATCTTGCAGAGCGCAAAAAATATGAAGTCTTTAATTTGTGATGTTTTTACAAACACACCTCAGTAGGCAAGGCAAATGTATTTGTATAACACAATTCATCACAAAGACAATGCAAAGTGCTTTATATAATTAAAATATAGAAAAATAAAACAGAATCAAAGCAAGTAGGAAAAAAAATAAAAAGAGAAGACAGAAGACTTTCCTCAAAAAAACAATTGCGGATAGCAGCATTTTTAGATATTTAAAAATTATTATTTCTGTGCTATATTTCATGGTGTAAGGGTAGTTACGCAAGATGGTGACAAATCCAAAAATACAGAAAATATATCTTTTATATTATATTTTATATGTACATCCTCTTTGAATATTGCATTTGCAGCTGCAAAGACACTCAAACATGCATGCTGTGTTTCTTCAAACCTCACGCAACTCTCCCCATGATCAAGGAAAACTTGGATCTGCAGTTTACAAAATTCAACAGATTTCCCTTTACATAATAGTCCCAAACCCCTTTAACCAATTTAAATGGGATTCAGCACATTTAAAATAAAATACAGCCCACAATAGTTTTTTCTCACAATATTTTTGGAGGTTTTCAGCAAAAAGCTGCATTCTATGACTACATATGTGGTTAAATGTTGGATGACCTAATGAACATGATTTGACCCACATTTAAAAGACAGCTGGCCTCCCTACAAAGTAGGATGAGGATCACATATGCTTCAATGGCTGCAGTGCTGCACTTTCATGCTGCAGAAAAATATTAACCCCATTAACTTGCAGGCATCCAATTATCAGTGGATACTAAAACTGAGGAGGGATTCGAGTTTATTTGTGATTGGAACAAGCAAAGAGGACAGATTACATTAATAAATGATATTTTCAGCTTATACGAGCAAATAAATTTAAATTAATTCTGAATAATGACCCATATTTTTCTAACGGCAGCAGTGATGTTTCCTTTAATCTTCCTTTCTGCTTCGTTTATAATACCTTCAATCTCCACGGTGGAATAAAAGCCTGTTGTTTCTCTTCGGTGACGTTTCATTTCTTTGATCCTGCAGGCATTATTCCCTTGAACGCAACACCTGGGAAAGCTTGCGGAAACACGCTGACAGATATCTGCATTACCAGCGAGGTGAGTAGGAGATACTTATTTACGTGTGGTAACGTTTCTCTTGTAGAGCTTCTCTAACCTCCCTGTTTTTTTCTTCACAGTTCTACCTGTCCTTCCACCTCTACATTGTGGCGTTAGCCGGTGCCGGAGCCACCGTCATTGCATTGGTGAGCTCCCTTAATGGATCCGCTCAAAATATGCACGTTGCCATGCCGCGCTTATCTGTTGCCACGGCAACCTCTCACGTAATGTTGTACTATCAGCTGAAATCCTGCCCTGCAGCCTGCTATGTCAGTGTGTGTGTGAGTGTCTGTGTTTTGCTCCGATATGGAGGCGGACTTTTTCTGTCCTGGGAAATGGAGACGCCTAAAAAAATAACATCTTTCCACATGTTTTGCCAACTCACCTAAATGCCCTTTGGCTTTTGATGTTGTACAGCCACAGTGTCATGAAAACAGGAACCATTTCAGATGTTTAGGTAGTGAAAAAGAAAAATAGTCCCTGAAGGACCCTGAAGCCATTAACAATACTTTCACCCATTCATAGTTCTAAAGCCCCTGTTACACCTTGATGATTTAGACCAGCGTATGCCTGATGTACAAAACAATCTGGCAAAAACGCTGGCATACGTTGGTTAAGTTATGAGCACGCTGAAACACGCTGGCACACGTCGACATACGGCAAGTACGTCGAGAAATTTCCCAACATATGCCAACTTAGGTCATAGATCATAGCGGGCTGTGAACAGCAGCTAGGTTAATATCAAAGAAATCTTTTTATGCAAACCGGGCTCCTCCGGGTGCATCGCTGCCCCCCTCAGGACACTGGCTTGTGCATCATTTTATGGATATTACACTGCCGTGCGTCATGCATAAGTTAGGCTATTGTTGGACATAAGTTCTGGACTCGTTATAAATATGCTATGCATACGCCCAAAATTGAAAAAATACATTGAAAGTTTAGCGTATGCCAGCGTTTTAGAAGATTCTGGGATGTCGGGCATATGCTGGTTAAGTCGGCAAGGTTTGACAGGTTCCTAAGCTACATCTTGATGTGGAATAGACATACAGAAGAAAGGCTGTCATACAATTTACACCACCAAAAGCTGCCATCAAGGCGGGGCACAGCCCCAAACCAACAACCATTAGTTAAAGGCTGATGAACTTGGCTGAAATTTTCAGACCATGTTGTAGATTTTAATGGGGACTTAAATATATATATATATTTAAAGGACAGGATGGTAACGATGTAACTTTGATTTCAGAAATTAAAATCGTACTTTTGTTTGCCGTCTCTTAGATCCACTACCTGATGATTTTAGCGGCTAATTGGGCCTATCTGAAGACTGCAGCTTCCACGCATGACTACCAGGACATCAAGACCAAGGATGACCAGGACCTGGAGGCCGAGGCGCGCTCCAAGGATGGCCAGAACTCCTCCTCCTACTCTTAAGGACAAAGCGTCCTCTTTTGCCATTGTTCATCTTTTCTCCAAATCTTAAACCCATCCTGCAACAACCTAGTGCCCACCCCCCTTCCCCCTTCCGACAAAACAAACCACCTCGGTCATGTTCGGCAGCCCCCAAATCTCCTGATTCTCCATCCTCTTCGCTTTACCCAGATTGTTTTTTTTTTTCGTTCTGCTTTGAGACGTAGAGTGCGTTCTCACACTTAAGGGGAAGAGGATAGAGGGTCAGGAGGAGCGGCAGGCCCAGACGGAGGCGGGTGCTTCAGAACGGCAAAGCTCGCCCCGCGCCGGGGGGTCGAGCTCAGGTACAGTACATCGGTTTTAGAAGCGCCTCTTCCTCCCCCTCCCTGTGCTTTTGGGCGGCGGCTCGTGAACGTGGCCCGGCTGTGATGGCCTCGCGCCCTGAGCCAGCACAGCCTCTCAAACACATAGCTCGTATAGAAAAGAAAAAAAAAAAAAAAGAATAAAAAAAAAGAAAAACAATGTTCACTGTGTGTGCTTCAATCACTGGGAAGCACCACAGCAACCAAGCTCTTCTGTTTTTTGGTGTTTTATATGCATATATATATATATATGAATATGAATATATTGTGCGAATGTGTGTGAATGTTGTTCTTTTTTTTAATACTCTGAAAAAGTATGCCAGGTATTGTTACAATCCCTATGGATTTTTTTTGGGCTCATAGGTTTTTTCTCTTTTCTCCTTTAAGTTTTTTTTTTTTTTTTCCCTCACCTTTGACTTTTTATTGCTTTTGCTCCTAACGTTATTGCACTATTCAAAAATGAATAAATGGGGGAGACTATGATCCCTTCAACAAAATAAACCCTCCTTTTTTTTTCCCCCTCCAAGAATGAATAATTCAAAGAATGAATAAATAAGGTAATACCTCGATGATTACTCTTCCTTTGCATAATTATATTTTACCTCTAACTTTCTTTTAGGAGTTTAGAAAAATGTGTTTGTTTGCTCCCACGTCATGCATTAGATGCTTTTTTGCTAGGAGGTCATAGAAATCCTCATATCCAAATGTGCAAGAATCCAAGTAACCACACCAAATGTTACTGAAGACTTTCCAAGTTTTTCTTATCTTTTTGCTACATTTATCACCAGCTGAAATAAAAGTCAATGACAGCGCCCTCTACAGTTACTTGCACCAGTGGTTGAAATGCGTGAAATATCTTAAACAAGACATTTATATAGTAGTCAAACACTATTGTATGGTGGTGGCAGCATCATGCTGTGGGGACGAAGTTCCTCCAGTCATAGAGAGCTAGCGTTGGTAGGTGGATCTAGGGCAATCCTGGAAGACTTCTCGGTTCTAATTTAACCCAGATATTAGATTTTATATACCATTTCGTTGTCACTGTTTCAAAGTGGACAAAAAAAAAACACGGTTCTTGTTCAAATTCAGTTTTAAATAATTTAGCTTTTAACCAGGAGCTATTTTTATTTGTTGCCATTTTAGGATTTATCAAACTCCACACATAGCTGATTTAATTAAATAATAGTTTCAGTTGTCTTCACTATTTAAAAGAGTGCCTAACACAAACAGGCATCATTGTCATGGCTTATTTTTAATGTTCAAAATGTCATTTACCAGTAATTTGGGACCCTTAGAAGTATATTGTGACCAAAGTAGAACATTACATTTTAAGAACTGTTCCCCCCCCCTCTCCTTCTGTGGCTTAACAGAAAATGTTTGTTAGCAAAACAAAAAAAAAGCGATCCCAGAATAATATTGAATCCAATTTTTTGCTTGGTTATAAAATCATCTGATAATCTCTATTTTAGCTTAATCTCCATCTTGATTTTTTTTTTTTTTTTTTTTTGGCATGCAAATATATTAAATCTGATCATTTTTGACTGTGGAACAAAGTTCCTAGACAATTAATACCCACATTCCTTTTAAATAAATAAAAATGTTTTTGTTATATTTAGCTGGAATTGTTAAGAATGCCACTAATTACAGACTGGTGGATTTTGTATTTTAAAACAAAGAAAACAGAAAAAAAATATATTTTTTACATTTACCTGCTGAATAAAAGGTGCTCAAATTAAAAGTTGGATTTTTCTAAATTTTCTGCAATAAAAAAGTCAGTTTTCATTCCAACAATTTTAACAAGGGTGTCTTTAAATGTGGAGGGCGCTGTACATCTAGGTCTAAAGAGAGACACACACCTCAGGTATCAAACCAAATCTGATTTGGATTTTATCTCACATTAACCGTTCAAACTGACCTAATTAGTACTCCACCCACCGGTTCCTCTTTTTTTGGGAACAAAACCTGTAAATAGCAGAATCACCCTTAAGAACTGATCCATCCCCCGAACAAGAACAACACAATCAGTGTTTTATTTCATCCATTCTCTTTTATTTTTCTTGAACAATGTAAACGTACCCTTTGAGATATGTGTTTAGCACTCGAATACTAGTTCTGCATTTTTGATATTCTAATTGTAATGTAAGATCTTCAATTCTGTGTGGTGAGAGGGAAACAGTTCAGTCATGATATATGATGGGTTTGAGGTGATTGTGACGTATACATCTAAAAATGTGAAGATGAAAAACATGGTTATTGATTTTTTTTTTTTCTATATTTATCCATTTTAGGCAGCTGGGTTCTTGTGGTTTTAACATTTTATGAAAAATGTTTGTGCTTCTTTCTTTTCTAAACGGCCAACGAGTGGCTTAATTCACTTTTTCTTGTTTTTTTTTTCCCGCTTTAGGAATACCATGCCTCTCATACAAGCCACAAAGACTGTTTTGGATGTTTACACTGAATAAAACAAGGCAGGAATTTTCATACATTAATTTTATAACCAGATATGTTTTGATAATCATGGCCTACACTCTAAATGAATCATAACCGATTAGGTAACCCTTAAAGAAATAGCTAAATAAGACAGATTTTTGATGAAATGAAGCATGTCAGTATCGTCCATGTGCACAGCTGTCTATTCTGTATAAAAAAAAAAAAGGACTTTATTGCCATGTGTGTTATGTTGAATAAATATCCGTGCTTTGCCGGCAGGTTGATGTAAAAAGGCAAACTTAAATTTCCTATAAGCCGATGATGCGCGTCGGGTTGGTGTCGTTTCCTCGTTATTTGCATGAAGGAGACATGACTGTGTCTTTGCAGTTTTTTCAGGTGATGTGTAGTCATTTGTACTGGCAACTATGGTAGGCCGCAGTGTTTTTTGCCCCCTTCTCCACCCCTGCTCTTTTCTAAAGAACTCCATTGTACTTTGATGGCAATGTAGTCCCTGTAGGTGTTTCATTATGGTTCTTTTCTCTTTTTTTTTTAAAGTTGGAAATAGTTCTATGACTCCTCTATGGTGATTTTTTGTAACCTTCTCTAGTAAAACCGATATTTTTTATTATCGTGACAAATGTGTATTTTGTCTCTTCCTTCAGGTTGTGATTTTCATGAAAAGTCTTTAAAAGGTTATAAATTAACAACCATGTGTCTCAATTGTCAAGGGTTACATAGACATCTTGCAAGTATGATTGCAAAAAAATATATATACTTTTTCCCCTTTCTTTTACAGAAGGATTAAACTAGGGAATATGTGTATAAAATTTAGGATTTTATGGTAGAGAGCTCTTAATTAAACTTAATTAAATTGCATAACGACTCATGCAACATGTCTTTAAAGGCCAATACTGTACATCGGCCAGCCAATATCAGTGTTTTTTTCTTGCATCAGCTGAAGCCTGCATACTACTGACAATTCATCAGTGCATTTAGCAGCTATACTTTGGCATTGCGTGATGTACATGCATTGCCGCCCACCTCTATTTGCTATTGGTTGCAGTTTTCTATTATTTTATAAATTTTGCTTTTTATTTTACATCACATTTTTTTAAACACTGGGCCCTTTATCATATAAATGCAGGACATGAAGCAATAACACCCCAAATAATTGTCCCCAAAACAACTAAATTAGCAGCACATATTGGGGAAATGTTGGAGTGATGTCAAAATAATCATGCCTTAAAAAACCCATATCAGTCAATCGCTACTAAAAATACATAGAGTTGCCAAATAGTTCCAGCTTATTGAATTCTCCTTAGGGATTTAATTCAGCATTCAGTGATTAGTATTTATTTGCATATTAGTGTGAAAAGAACCATTATGTTAAAAATAGGCCAAGCACATTCCCGTAATATTTTATTGAAGGTGTTATTCTGGTCATAATTATTACAGTATTTTAAGTATCTATCTAACTGTTAACACATTGGACGAGGAATTAACTTTTTTTTTTTCAGAGCTATAACTCAGAACATGTTAAGAAGTGAAATTTTTGCCTTTTGGCCATTAAGAAGTCCCTTTCTTATTCGTTTTTCCACACCTATTCATCATTGTTCTTTGATTGCAATGCATTTAATTAATTATTTAAAAAAATTGCCAAGCTCTATGTATAACCAAAATCTCAAGAAATTGGTAAAAATTCAGCTTATTTTAACATCTCTAAAAATTACAACAAAAATAAATTTCACTGTTATAAATATGAGACATACTTAAACTACTTTTAGTATAGTAATCATTCACATGTAAATATTACAATTTTCTCAATGAGAAAATGTTAATGGAGAAACTAAACTTTCCTGCAGGACCAATTCTCTGTAGCCTATCTGAATCATGTAAATTGTACAGGACAGTTTAATATATTGAATGAAAAACAGCAATTTCTTGTGTAAAATAAAGCTCTATACGGAGAGTAGTGCAGAGTATTCCTTTTTATCTTGGTATAAGTAAGTTAAAAACACAACTTTTAACTAATTTCCCAACTGATAAATCAAAGATGTCAACAGCATTCGAAAATGTTATAAGTTTAACAAGAAAATGTAACTTTCTTTTTATTGCTTGGGTTGTTTTTAGGATACCTAGAGGTTTTCCTCATCACTGCACAGGTGAAGCCACTTTATTCGGCCAATCAGTGTTTGAGAAATTAATGTCCTCTAGTTTTTATTTACAAAAGCAAAAAGTGAAAAGTTAGTACTTATTACAACAGAAGATGGCATGCTTTTAACAAAATAAAAGGTGGGAAACAGTTGAGTGTACAGATTTTAATTACAAACATGGCATTTTATTTGTCAATGTTTAAAACTGTATCAAAAGGAACAGATTGTTTTCATGTTTTCCAATAAATTATGTGATTAAGCTTTACCCAATAAGTTTAAACACTATGCGCTTCTGCCTAACCAATAGAGAGCTTTAAATCTTCCAATTTACCACAGCATTCAGAACAACCTTATACCTAGTTTTGACTTTAACCCTGTAGCACTTTGGCGCCACCATGTGGAATAAAAGTGTACTGTGATTTAAAGTAAAGATAATTTTCAAAGTTATTTTTGAAATCATCAAAAAAGGAAAAACTTAATTGGAGGCGTTTAACTCAACAGAAAATTTAGGAAAAAAAAAACTGATGAGGGAATAATTTCATAGTAAAGAATTAACAGCTTGAACTCAAATGCTTTCAATGAATAGCTTCAGTCCCTGATCTCTATGAGTAAAGAAATGCATAATTCAATGAATCCACAATTTCTTTTTAAGCCAAAATGCAATATTTTCACTCAGTTAAAATGATAGGAAGGTGTTTTGGCTAAAAAAAAAATAATCAAAGAGAAGGAAGCTAAATCAAGTGGGTGGGCAACTTCTCATGTCAACCCAGGACTAAAAAAAAAAATAAGAAAAAAACATTTAAATCCTCTCTTTGAAGGCAACAATTTATAAGCACATGTGTTGGCTGTTTTTAATTCACCCTAGAAGATATCTGATGAAAAAAAACAGGGAAAAAAAAAACAGTATATATTTAGGTTTAAACATATACGAGTCCTAAATTTATTTTTCATAGTTTAAAATGCATCCAGCATTTCAATTTAAACAAAATAAAAACATTAACCTTAAAAAAGATCCTGGTTTAAGCATAAATAGGAGCATACAGAACTATAGAGCAGCTGCTGACAGCATCAACGAAAGGCATGTGTGATATCCAGTGTTTAACAGCATTTGGATTCAGGGCGAGGCTTCTTCTGCAGGTTCACAGTGTTGGTGGGGATCAGGGGTTCATCTCTATCTTCAGATGCCAGGAGACGGCGTGCTGCTTCCTCAAAGGCTGATGCTACATTTGTTGCATCCTTGGCGCTAGTTTCAAAGTAGGGAAGTCCTCCATTTTCCCGGCACCACTGGCGTACGTCCTCCCCTGATACCTGACGGTCAGGAACATCCACTTTGTTGCCCAGTACCACAAACGGGAAGTTGTCAGGGTCCTTCACGTCCGCGTAGTAAGTGAACTCTTTCTTCCAGTTTGAGAGATTCTGGAAGCTTTGTCCGTCGTCCAGGCTGAAGGTGAGTAGGCAGCAGTCCGAGCCGCGGTAGAAAGGCGTTCTAAGGCTGCGGAAGCGCTCCTGTCCCGCCGTGTCCCAGATTTGCAGAGTGACCCGGCGCCCGTCCACCTCCAGCTCTTTGTTGAGGAACTCCACGCCTATTGTATGGAAGAGGTGAGAGTCGAACTTGTTGGTGACGTAGCGGTTCATGAGGGACGACTTGCCCACGCCTCCATCACCTAGGAGGATGACCTTCAGCAGAGTGGACTTGGCCATCGTGGAAACCAGGGGCTGAGTAATCAAGGAGGTTGGAAATCTGAGCTGAGAGGCCACACAAAACCAGAACCAGGAGTCGGACCTAAGAGGGAAAGGACATGTCAGACTAAACCTTACTATATTTAGCAGGTATGAAAATCACGGCTGATATCAATATCAGATATTAATATTGGCGGTTATGGTCGATAACTAATATATGTTTCCCAGCTCTTTAGGACCAACATTGACTGATTTAATGATGATTTATCATACATGCCTTATATTTATAGCAGTAAACAGGTACTTTATTCTTATTAAATTATCTTCATTCTAATGGATTAATTTGACTTTCTTTTAAAGATGCACTGATCCGACATCGCATTTCGACTCCGATATTGACCAGTTAACTGAATCGGATATCCGTGATGATGTATCAGCTAGCAGAGATACAATCCAGCGTACATTATAAGGAACTATTATTGTTTTATTTTAGCTGCCTTATTTCTTAATAATATAAAATACATTTATATCTGCACTGATTTAGCTTTTCTTTCTGTTTATGTGAAGATTGAAGCTTTGATTCATTCAACAGTTGAATCAGATCGTTATCGCTTATCGGCCGATATGCTCAGTCCAAGTATCGGTATCAGAGGTGATTGGAATAAAAAAATGGATTGGTGCATCTCTAGTTTCTTTTTTTTTTTCCTGACAAATCTCAAGAAATAATTCCTACTCAAAGACCAAAAACAGTGGTTTGATACCAGGTGTTCACGGGTACAAACTAAAACTAAATACTAAGCTGCAGCTACAGATGTATATTAGACCCAGAATACTTGCACACTGAGGTAGAGGAGCCCAGCAGCTCCTGGTTTATAAAAGGAGTGATAATGCAGGCTATTCATCCCTGCTGTTATCAGACTTTACAATGCTACTGCACTATAATCTGGTGTAATAACACTGCAATAACATACTATTTATCCATTTATTAAAGCAGAAACCGCACTTTACCTGTCACCACCTTACTGTATATAAGATACTGTATAAATCACCTAAAATCTCTCCTTTATTTTTTACCATCCACTGTATATATCTGGATGCACTGAATATACTTCATGCACTTTTTTATCCTTCGTGCAACTTTTGTTTGTATATAAGATATGATGTCACAAGTGAATTTCTCCATTGTGAGATCAACAAAGCCCTATTCTATTCTAATATTGTTTAATCGCCATAGGTTTAGCTTTCCACACACGTACAGACTGAATGTATTAGGGATAGCCGTTACAAGGGAAACCCTATTTTGATGCTTACTTTAGTTGTCTTTTTCTTTTTGCTATTGTTTTTTTTTTTTTCTCTGTTTCCTTTCCCTCTTAAATCATGAAGGTGTGGAAGCAGACAACTAGGAGTTACTGTATATCTCCTGTCGTTTGTGTTGCTTTTTTGCTTTCTTTTCTATCTCCATCTCTTTCTCTTGCCCCATTAATTCGTATCCTCTCCCTTTTTCACCTGCCTTTCCATCCCAGGGTCCATTATATACTATTTTATTCCCTGAATCATTTTCAATAAATTTTCATATACATTACCTAGGGGAATCTAATGGAAACAACCTTAATGCTGGTCTGCTTATGAGAGCAAATGTGTGCGGCTATTTTCTAGATTCCCTAAGCTATATTAGCAAAACAGGACATTAAAAAAAACGAAAGAAAAACAATAACAGACCATAAACTCCAGTCTTTTAACACTTTTAAACCATTGAGAACAGACAACTGAAGCCCCTGAAAATGTAATTTCT